CCCAAATCGACTTTGAGGAACTTAGCCGAGCCGTCCTGCCGTTGCCATCTAAAAGATCGACCTGATGTTTTCGGTCTTTCGCATACTGTCACCGTCCAGACTGGTCTTCTATCACTCATCGTCCCGCTGATTATTCATGCATGATACTCTCCAACTATTCTCGTGCATGTGTGTTTATGTTTTTCATACACGCGTTCAGATTGATCGTCTCGTTTGGTTATCACGATTCGGTGTGGTCGCAACCCGTATTACTCGTGCTTACTCGATTAGCCACTCCGTGCTCATTCACAAAATGCACACGTCACCTCGAGGTCACGTGACTTACCTGTCGGTATGATCGGCCATATTTGTGATGCCCTGCGAATCGATAGATCATGGTAGTCCATGCACGTGCCTGTATATGAACTTTATTTCTAGTTTCTAGTTTATTCTGTACGACGTACTAGCGCTCACATTTTGTGACCAACCTGTTTTGTTTCATGTATTGTACGGTCTCGAATGGCTTTTGATCCATCGACAAATATCGCATAGCTTACGACTAACCCATCACGATAAGACTGCAGTTTGATTTGGTGTGATGGCTTGTGCACCTCTGTGACCCACCCGGCTATATAGGATGGCTTTGTTAAGCATACAATTCCACGTTTAAAAATGTCACATGATGCGGGCTTCTTCCACTGCTGCACACAACTCCACTTATATTGGAATGTATGGCGTGCTAATACTTCATAAAGTCCCAGTTTGAAGGACTCAACGCTTGGCGCACAGAAGTGGGAGAGAATTCCAGATCGACCACACTAACTGCGAATGGCTAACGCCGGCATTCCAATCGGCATTTTAAGATAACTAGGTGAACGTTGGGCGACACAGATTGCTTGGGCTTTGCGTTATTTGGTATACCCTTTTGCCATCACGTAGCTATGGATTATATGCCCAAAACCGCGTACTCTGCTGTGAGTGGGTGAATGTATGCTGATAGCAGACGGGGAAAAGCGCTGACTCAAACTGGGTAGAAACACGTCTAAACAAACCGACATTCGATACCCTGGCACAGTTAAGTGAGCAGAATGTCGATGCCCAGGTCCTTCTCGCTTGATTGCTACTCTTATTATGTGAAGTAAACCTTTAGACCGTAGGGTCTATCCCTTCGTTTGTAATTCGTGTTCGTCATGTAGTGAAACAAACTTGTTTTCAGTGTTCGTGTGACTGCGTTTTTGGTTCAACTAACGACGATCCCCCATTTTGTCTGCTTTACTCTCGGGAATTGGGATAATTTTGTCTGCATTGTTGCATAACTCTCCCACCACATGTTGTTCCATTAACCTGTGTGTCTTGTACTCAATAGAAATTGCCAAACCACGTACGTGCACTTGCCTACGTCTCGTGGTCAAGCAAGCCAATGGCAAGTTGTCGTAAACGTCTATCCAAATCACCTCTGTTTACGTGGCTACGCACAAGACCAGTCTGGTCAACTGCTCAGTCAAATGGCAGTGGGTCGTCGTTCCTCCCGACTCGTTCTACCTCAGTGCCTGTTACGTCAAAAAACAAGACTGGCCCAGTTGACTGTCGACGTGTGGATTCACCTTCGCGATCAGAGTGGTCGGACCATCAAGGTCATTGTAGCCGTTTTGGAATGCGACCCACCAACCTTCCTTCACGAACTGAGCCCACCGCTCTAGTTCCCAATCTGGGTGGGAGTCGATTACGTACGCACAGCAACCGTAGAATTCGTACTCACTGCCATTCAAATTCATCGTCACTGGATCGGTTTATTGAAAAGTCTAGGTTGTGGACTGGTCGAGCTCCTCTTGCACGCATGGAACACACCCACATAACCAGTCCATGCTCACCCCGAACCACAGGCTCTGTTCTGTGCGTTTTTGGTCATAGCAAGGAGAAGCAAGTTTCGCTCACGTGCGCGCGCGAATGTTCTCGTTTCCTAAACCAGAGCAGTTTTCTGTTTTCCATGGGTACCACCGACCCATTGATATCGGTTCATTACCTTGCTCATGTTTTTTTCGGACCTCTTTTTCAGTTCCTTTTACTCAGTCTTGTTTGTTCACTTTATTTCTGTTGTTGTCCAGTACGATTGATGGCGACCACTGCAAACGTGCTCTTCTCTATATCTCCCACCCTCTAATTTTCGTTTTCATTTCACAGCTGATTCGCTCCTCCATGGACAAGTTGGATCTGAAGGAGAAAGCCCGTACGAAACGCAAGGGACTGTTCTAAACGAATCCTATCCGCATCTGATGCATGCATCGCGGTGTTCGCGTCTGTGCACTCACCTCCACAGCTCTTGGTGTCCAATTCTTCTCGTTGTTCTTTATACACCTGCAAGACTATTGGACAGCTGTCGGTCCTCCAAGATCAATCGATATTCGTTGCTGTACAAATCGTATCCCATCTTTCCCCTTTCCTCACCCTTTATATTCGCTATAAGCATTTTATTCACCAAATAGGCAAAAAACTCAGCGGTTGGAGTTGACCTCTGAACTATCTAATATGTGTGTGGTGTGGTGTGGTGCGGGTGGTTATTCATCGCGACAATCAGTTGAACTGGCGGGTACTCGTCCTACGGAACAGGTGATCAAGTCGTGAATGTTCGCTCACTCGCTTGCTTGCTCGCTCGNGTCCACACACACACACACACACACACACACACACTTGTATCTGTATGTATTGCTTCTGCCGACAATCCGCTCTGCCACCTCTCCAAGTTGCGTCTTTCAAACTGATTTCAAGGAGCCACACACGCGGAACCACATGCTCGACCGGTACGTTCTCACTCATCATCATCCGGTTGTCTGTTTGCGTTTACCGGCTGTTCTGGTGTAACGCAGGGGATCCGGATAATTTTGTTCATCAATTGTTCAGATGATTAGTTGGTTGGTTCGTTCCGTCCTATCTCTGTTGCTTCCTATCTCGCTGCGTGGCAGTTTGGCCATCTTTTTTGCTTTTGTTTTTTCCCCCTGTCTTCTTTCTGCCTTCAGAGCACGTTTCTATTCCGATAACCCGTGTGTACTGCCGATGTATTCGGAGGAAAACGAACAACAGTTGCAATCTTTCTGGTTTTGTTTATGCTGTCCTCAATGGATAGGTTTTACTCGGTTACTGTGGCTAGCGATGTTCGCCGAGGCAGGTAGTGGGTGAAAGAAAGCCAAAACTGGTCAAGCTAAGACCTGGCATGAGGGTATGAAAACCCTAACCAGGGTCACATAGGTCCCGTTAAGCTCCCTGGCTGGAGACCCCGAGACGATCGTAACCCATGGTTAACGACACTGAGTGACATAGCTGAGTGGTGTTCGTGCATCTTGTCAATTTGTCTGCAACAATAATCCACTGAAATTATAAATTTTCTCTTTGATGTCACTTTCAACCTGTCCTGTCTTTCTCCTAATGTTCATCCAAGCGGGCAGTCAAAAGACAGCAACCGAAATCGGCCACACGAAAGTGCATGGTTAATGGTTATTCAAAGTGAAACTCTCTGTGTTACTGTACTCGGTACCCGTTCAACGCTGGTCAAAGCAGATCGTCATTGCTTCCCCAATCTGTTCTGGGCTAGCCACCATTGGGCAATTTGGATCGTCCCGATTCGGAGTGGTCAACCTGGTGCCAATCGGGTGCATGTTGACTGATGCCAATTGGGGTTAGAATGTCTGTGCTGCTCGTCAGAAGTAGCTGTTCTGTTTTCGACTAGCACTGTTCAAAAGCCAAACTCACGGGGTCAAGTATGTGCCGAAGGCGAAAAGATACACTAGTTTCACTCACTGTTCATGACCCAGTCATTGATGAAGCTGCTCATGCGGTCCTCAATCAGTTAACGATTCTAAACAATGCTCAAATTGTTCCAGGTCCATGTCGTTAGTGCCACTGAATGTCCATTATAATTGATTCAACCTGACGACCTTCATGTAAAGTCAACCGTACGTTCGGTGGTACTACACTCGAGTTTTGCTCTCATTTGAGCTCATCAGTAGTGCATATCCCACTGTTTGAAAGTCCGAACTCATCACGTGGACGATGTGTGTGTGTGTGTTGCCACTGTGCCAATCAACTAACTAAGTCCGGGGTGGCACTGAATTGCCACTTCGTGTTTGTTTATGTGCTTTGTTCACTAATAGTCAGTCAGTTCATGTCTGACCCGAAAGCATCGAACGGAGACAGTTGACCAT